AACTCAGAAGAATAACCTATTAGGACTTTGAAAGAAATTATTTTTATAAAGATATTCGAATAATTATTATATATAAATTCTGTCTTATTTAATAAATTTACTTAGTAGTTTTAATACTCGGTTATAAAGCAGTATAGGTAATATTCGAGAACTTAATTAGCTCTTTCTATTTAGCTGTTAGTTTGCGGGTAAAACGCGGTCGATAACTATTTCTTAATCTTAGTTTAGTAATAAAAATCAGATTAAAATTAATTTATAAATACAGAGCTTCTGTTTATAATTATATTATAAAAGACTTTATATTTTAGTTTAATTTTTTAATAAAATAGTTCGGCTAGTTCTTCTGCTCGAATTATATATAATACTGCTATAAAATAGTTTATTTTTATAAAACAATCGACAATTACTAATATTAAATCTATCTAATAATTCTGGTAGTATAGTTCGGATAGTTCTATAATAAAATTTATAGTAATTTTAGTCTATAATCTCGATAGAATTAATAGACTTTCGAATTCTCTATATAATTAATATCTAGCTGCGGTTTAATATTAGCAGATAAAATATATTACTATATAGTCTTTTATATTATTTTAAAAACCAATCCAATAGAATTTTCTGTGGAAAAGTTGTTTAGTTCTATTTTATTCAAAGTAACCTACTAATAAATTATTATAGTATTATTATAGTAACTTTTAATATAGGCCTTTTACCTCTAATATATAAAGTCTATTTTTAAAATATAATAATCTATTCGTTGTAATTCTCCAATATTTAAATAATTTATTTTTCTTTTTCTGGAATTCAGAATCTTGATTTTAAAGAGTTTTAATTAAATTTCTTAGATTATTATTATAAACAGATTTATAAATCTTTTCGGCTTTGCTTGTATTTTTTGTAGCTGTAATACTAGCAGATTATTTATAATTTATTATATAAACTATAGTTTAATCAGCTAATTTTATACCGGCAGCACCTATAGGCCTGCTTAATACTATATAAATACTAAGTCTAGATTTCTTCTATAAAAATATTTTATTATATTTAAACTAGAATTTTCTAATTTTAATTATTACCGAGATCTTAAATACTGCTGAAATAAATATTAACCGGTTATAAAATACCTGTATAATATTATTATTATAAAAGCTTTTTACTGGCTTAAATAGTTTAAATAGAATATCAGCAGAATTATTCTTATCTAATTAATATTTAATTATAAAATTAAAAGAAGTTAAAATTATATACTAATATACTTAATATCTATTAAGCCGGGATTAATTTATAAATAATCTAAGATTTGTATAGTTAGATAGAACTTTAATAAGATACTAAGCTTTATTAAGATATTAATATTAATATTTAAAAAAGTAGATAATAATAAAAAATTCTTAATCCAGAGTATTCCAGTTAAATTCTGTACCCGAGAATTTTCTTAACCAAATAACAACTATATAGTATTATTCTATTAGTTCCGGTTGGATTAAAATATCTACTATTTCTTTATTACAGGCGTCGGTTTTAATCCGAATAGATTAAATTAGATTAAAGAAATAAAGAAGAAGAATAGTCTAGAATATATTAATAAATCGATAAAATACTAGTCTTTTGTCTAGAGCTAAATAATATATTTCCGGTTTCTTACTATTTTAACTTTTCTTTAAAAGATTTATCAAAGATAGTACTAATAAAGAAAAGTTATAAATAAATCTGTAGTAAAAGTTATAAAATTCTAAGAAGATCTAAATATTATAGTAGATAGCAGGTAACAGCTATAAAATAATAGTTTTAATTCAGTTAGAATTTATTGTAATATCTATAGAAAAAATAATATATCTAAGAAATTTAATTTATTACTAAAGAAAGAAGTATTTAGATAGTTTAATATATAAATTAGTTTTTTATAGTTATATCAGCACTTTCTTAATATATTTGATATATTTATATCTTATTATTAAAAAGATAAGAATATTATTTAGATATGTAATATAAATAACATCAAGAATATTATATAATACGGAGTATATATAATTTTAAAAAGAAGCAGATATATTAATTAAGCCAAATAGTATTACTATATATTTAAAATAACTATAATATATACAAAACGCAGTCTTCTATTTGTCTTTTTTCTTAATATAAATATAATAATAGATATTTTAGATATCGATTTTACTAAAATATTTATATCCAGCTAATCAGTTAAGAATTTTAAAGATTAAAAATAGTAAATATTAATTTTTTATTATAACTTTATTAAGTTTATAATAATCCACGCATAGCTGTAAACTTTTATTTTTTTTAGATATAAAGAGAATAGGGGCTTCTGCAAGATTTTTAAATAAATATATTTTTTTATTAGCAGTATTTTTGTTAATATAATCTTTAAGTACTAAAAGTTCTCTTTCCGAAAAAAAATAAATAGATCTAAACAGGAATAATTCATCTTCGAGAAGATCGATAGTATAATTCTTATTATAATATTTAAAAAGAATTTTAGATTAATTAAAAAAAAAGACATCGGCAGATTTGACTAGTTCTAGCAGAATAGAATTATTTTAATAATATTTTAATTTTTTATTATTATCTGAAAGCTATAGTTTCTCTAGGATTTTAATAATTATATAAATACAGGCGTAATTTCAGCAAGTTTTAGTAAATTTTTAAGAACTTAATTTTTAGATTTAATTAAATTTAAATTATTATTGCTTGTTTTAGAAAGACAAATAAATTTTATAATTAAACAGAATAGTTATAAAAAGTAAGATTAAAATATCTTAAATAATAGTAATATATAGTCTGATAAAATACTGTTATACTTTTCTTAAATCAGTAATATCTAAAAAAATATTTTATACTTTATAGCTGATAACAGAGGTATAATTAATAGTTTTAAACTATAATAAAAATTTCCGGGATTTTAAAAAAAAGTATTATTATATAAATCTAATACTAACTAAATTGTATACCGCACAACTATTAATATTTGTATAGATTTTTTTAATATTAGATATTTATATTAATATTAATATCTTATCAGCTGTTTCTATTTTATAATATAGGGCCGAAACAGAAGAATTAGTTTTAGTCTACTCTATTTTTCTATATTACTTTTTCTAGCTTGTAGTTCTTAAATTTAAGCTGATCTCTTTTTTTTTTAAGAATATTAGTTGGCGAGATACTCAGCATTATTATATAAAAAGTATTATAAAACTTTTCTAATTAGATTAGAATAATTAGTTTTAGAATTAAAAGATTAAGTATTCTTATAGAATTATAACTGTTTTTATAATATATTAGACCTGTTAGATCCCTGTTTATATTTTTATTTTTGTATATATAGATTCTAATAATAAGTAATAAAAGATATTATCTTGTTTTGTTCCTCAGACAGTTAGTATATATATTCTTTAATATAGTAACTAAAATCAGAAAGTAATTTTATAAAGAAAGTATAGTTATATTTCTTTTTAATAGCTCTAGAAAAATATTATTCTAAAGTATTAAGATAGATATAAAATTTATAAGAATCTTAATTATTTTACTGTCGAGCTTGCTCTAGCTGGCTTATTATATTAGGCTTAAAAATAGTAGTATTTTGGATAAAAAAAAATATTTATTTAGTAAAAACAGATTATAAATAGTTAATATTTTTTTTTTATTTTAGTAGTAATTTTTTAAAATAATAGTACTATCTCTGCCGACAAGTCGTGCTTATATAGCTTATAGCCTCGAGAATCTTATAATAGTTATTATAAAACTTAGATAATATCTTCTAAAAATTATAATCTAAATTATAGAACTATTTCTAGCGTTTTTAAATATTAAAGAAAAGTTCGAATTATAGAATATTTTTGATTTTAATATTTATTTTAGATTTATTTAAAAAAGAGAAAGTTTTCTGTTGCTGAGTCGGTGCTAATTTAATATTATTATATTAGATTTTCTATTATAGTTCGGCAATTTGTTTTTTTAACCGCTAATAATCTTATAACTGACTAATAGTATTTCTAACTACGGTAAAATCTTCTACCGAAGAATCTAATAGTAAAGGTAATAAACTATTAGCGGTAGAAGAAGTTTCTGATTCGGAACTGCTATCGGAATATAAGAATTATAATAATATACTGTATTCTATAGATAACTAAAGAAAAAGAATTAGAATTGTAAAGAAAAAAGATTAGTTAGATATAGAATAATAGCAGTCTATTAATTTCAAAACTAATTCTTACTATTCGAAGATCTAGCAAGGTTCTGGGAGTTAAATACTAAAGAGGATTAGAGTTATTAATGTTACGACTGTTACGTAGAAAAGACGTAAGAGACTTGTAGGCGGCCTGCTGGGGTGTCGAAAGTTATCCGTGACAATTATATTAATATATAAAGCTGAATATATAGTTTTTTATACTATAGATAAAAAAATCTACTAGATTATTTATATACTTAAAATATTAGTTTTTAAAATATATATCTAATAACTATTTACGTCAATAATAAAAATATAATTATATTAATTTAAAATAATTAGTTTTATCGGAAAACTAAGTATATTAATATTATATTTTATTAAATTTATAAAACTATTTAATATAGTAATATATAGCTAGAATATATTAAATTTTTAGAAAATTTTACTAACTTATTTATAAAGCTTATAGAAAATATTAAGTTTAATATATTAATAAAGAAACTAAAAATACTAGAAATATTTATATAAAGTATTAGAACCGAAGCAGTTTATAGAAATATTAGCTAGCTATATAAACTGTAATTCAAAGATTTTTTTTATATATTTATTAAGTTTTTAATATTAAGAAACTTTATAAATTATTTTTTTAGAAAAGAATAATAGTATTATAAAGTTTTTCAAGAAGATATATCAGTATTAATAGCCTAAAATTGCCGGGTTATATAACAGCCGGAAGTAAAAATATTATATAATAATAGCCAGTTCTTTTTTTATAACAACCAATATAATCTACTAATAAAATTTGTATTGCTTCAGCCTTCAGCCCTTTGAGTATATCCTTCCACAAATTGTAGATATGTCAGATATAGGTTGGCCCGACCTTGGTGATCTTATTTGACGAACAGCTGACGGAAGGATGCCATACAGGCGACAATATTTGCTATAAGATAGGTTTGTGAGTTTTGGTGCTAGTAGTCGAATAGATGGATATACAAAGAGGCAACGTACCAACCGTGGCTTCAATAAAGCTCTACATCCAAAGCCAAGATATATCCGGATTCTGGTCTCGACGGGCGACGACGGCCACTCGAACCACGGCCACAATGAAGATAAACACGGCTACGGAGAGGATAGCTATAAGGATCATTTTGTGACGGAATGGGATTCGGACGTTCCATAATAGAGCAATCGGTAAACTGATGACTAGTTTTCACGCACAGTACTCATTAGCTCCAATCTGAGATTAATATAATTTACTGTAAGCTTTATGGGGATTTTCTTACTGCAGACATCTGTTATCACATCCAGCACCAGATTGGTGATCAGCGCTCGAAACTCAAATTGCCCAGCTGCTTTTTGCGCACAGTGTTCTGTGAAGCAGAGACAAGGGCAAATTAGCATAAACTAAAATCACCACACTAAGAAGGGGAACATGCGCATTCAGCTTAAAGATTACCTAGAATGTGTACTTGGCTGTTCACGAGACAGTTGTACTGGATGTCTCCCAGACACACCAAGTAAGTTCCCGCTACCAGGCCCACTACACACCAGAACCAAATAGACCAAGAGCGGTCCGTGCCGGCGATGCGACGGAAGAAGATCAGAAAAGAGGCCTTGTTGGACCAGAGACATGTGTAGAAGAGAATCAGGATAGCGCATTCGGCCCTAGCCAGTCGCGAAAGCCGGGCCATCACCTCCATAGTTGGCTGGACCATACCGTCCTCCAGCGCAAAGATGTAATACATCGAATCTAACTGTGTTTCCCAGGTAATCGCTTAGGTCAACAATATTAGCCAGGCACTGATTATGAAGGCATCATCGAGCCAAAAGCGTCAAAGCGTCACGATACGCGCTAAGGTGCGAGTTGCGATGAAGAGGAACGAGATTGCGGTTGCTCCCCAAACAACACCCTACACGCGAATTTAGTGTAAGTGACGGCGACCAGCGGTGAAGATAATCACATAGATAGACGCATGCTCGTTACATGCAATGAATGCAGGACCCGACACTTTAGCACTGGTGTCATTTTGAAAGCTCGTCATGGCAGGCAAAGAGACTGATTAACACTGAAAAGTGAGTGTCATAAGAGCTTTTGTAGAATATCAGCGGTCAAGCAAGCTTTGAGCGCAAGTGACTGACAGGAATAGATTGGGGGACCGCTTCTTACTATCAGTGCCACGTAGGGAGAGCAGGTAGGTTTGGGGACAAAGGTGCGATGACTTCGATTTCAATTTATGCCCTCAAGTCCAGTCTCAACAAGGAATCATACACGACCATCAGCTTATCGCCATTTCTCAAAGCACGAATACCAGCAAAGTGACTGTGATTACGTCCCTTCGACGCCTCGGCTTACATGGTAGTACACGGAGCATGTTTTTATCCCGTCGCGCTTGCAGGTTCGAGCACTATGAATGCAGCAGACTCGTTTTGGGCTGTGCATATAGCCTTGGCTGACCCAATGGTCGAAAATCACGCCGTCTCGCTCAACGCTTCGTAGTTCGCTTTGATGAGGACATCACAGAGAACAAGCTTTAGCTTCTCCTCACTCGAGTGGGCTTTTCTCATGTTCGTCCCTCTATGATGCCAGTCACATCGGGCGCTGATGTACGGTGGGCGCCTTTTCGTCATTCGGCTCAATATCATAATCCGTGTGCTCAAGGTACCGGGGTTCTCAGCGCAGTACATAAATAAGAAGACTCGCAGCGTATTTTCAGATTATATCCATCAAGTTTCAGAGGGAAAGTAATAGATTCAAAGGCAACGAACATAATCAAGACCAAGATGCTTCTAGAATTCATGACCCTCGTGGCTGACTTGGTCGAGTCAATCTGGGCTTTCAGCCCAGGCATCATTCAAGTATCTATGATCCTGTCTACAACAATGCTAACCACCTGGACGATCTGGAGACTGTGGCGATTTACCATTCAGCCATTGCTTCGACCTCATGAACCAGTTGAGCTTCCATACTGGATCCCATGTCAGTGCTTAATCCCTGTATAATGGAGGGTACCAGGACTAACAGCTTGCAGACTTTGGTATGCTCCCATGACTCCGTCCTCTTGCCTTGTGCTGAGATAAAGATGTATAGGGCATGCGGGTGCCTTCTTCAAAGATTCTCATCTGCTGATGAAGAGAGCCGTGTATGTGGCGATCTGAGGACCATAACTAGATGCTCCCAGAACGCGGGTAACTAATTCACCGCCTAGGCAACAATTGCAGTCACGCGAGCCTTTTGCACTGACCCTCGCTGGCGACCGGTACTATGTGGCAACATCGCCAGCCGACACCCGCCCTTTTTTCGCCAATGCAAGTGCCCTGGGCCTGGATGGCTTTCTCAATCAGGTGTTGATCGGCTTCGGTTGTGGATCAGAGCGGCTTCATACCCTCTGGCAGCGCAACCAGCCCAGCCCCACAAACCCGAAAGGCAAGAGTCTGATCCATTTGACCGAAGATCTCTTTAAACATCATCTCCTTCCTGGACCGACCTTCGACAGCTTGTTGAGCCGGTATCGTGGGGCAATCGAAGAGTTGCCCCCCTGAAACCACTTGGAAGCAGTCTACCCCACACTGACTGGCAAGGAGACAGAGGCTATTTCTCTTTACGACCTGTGCTCTGATTTCATGATCAATGCCACACAGATGGTTCTGTTTGACCCTGCTCTCTTTGCTATCGATCCTGAGATGACAGTTGAATTGCGGGCCTTCACCGACGAGTTCTGGCAGCTCATATATAAATCAAAGTTCATTGACAGCACGCGAGTGCGTCAGATCCTGGCTCAATACACCAAGGCGCTCTCCACCTATCTACGGTTACCGCCTCAGACACGGAACCGTGAGGCATGCCTTATCCGAACGTTGCTCCAGACCTATTCTGAGCTGGGGATCCACGAAGAAGACCAGGCGGCCATGATGGTTATGATATATTGGGCGTAGGTAGAACTCCCTCGAAGAAACGTCCAATGTAGCATTAACCCAACGCTCTTTCCAGCGGGGACGCCAATGCATATAAAGCAGCATTTTGGATCCTGGCCTACATCGTACACGATCCTATATTGCGGGAGTTGATTCATAAGGAAACAGCTCCGGCAGTGGGCCCTGAGGAACAGCTAGACATGACTTATCTACGCCACAATTGCCCCCGGCTCTCGTCAGTCTATCACGAGGTACTCCGGCTAACCAAGCGCGATACGGTGCTTCGTCGGGTGGCTCAAGATATAGAGCTAGGCGGAAGGCTGCTCCGAAAAGGTAGCTTTGCAGTAATTCCCTCTTGTCAGTTGCACGACAGTTGCGAGACGTATGGACAGGATTCGCTGTCCTTCAATCCCGATCGCTTCCTCAAACAACCGGAGCTGACGCAAGACCCTGGTTATTTCCCGTATGGTGGAGGATTATACTACTGCGCGGGTAGACATTTCGCAACTCTGGAGATCTTCTCCTTTGTGGCTCTGGTACTGAACCAATTTGAGGTAAAATTTGCGTGGCCGGACCAAAGCTTTCCCCAAAAGGACGAGAGTGTGCTTACATTCGGAATCTCACGGCCATTACCAGGTGATGATTTGTATGTATATTTAACGAGACCTGAAGGCGTGGAGCACTAGTGGAGATTGGCATGTGTCAAATCGGAAAGGAAGTATGGAGATGAGATTTTGGAAGGGGTGGGCAGAATGTACGCGGTCGGCATGGGTGCACGAGTTAGGGCGAGACTGCCTGGCCTGTGGGATTCAATCGATTCGCTTTCCGGCTGTATTTCGCCTTTCCTAGTGCTAGCAAATTAAGTTAGTCGCCATCAAGATCCCTGTTACAGTACATTAGCCCGTGCCTTAGATCGCTTAGTTTGATTCTAAGTCTTTTTTCAACTGTCACCCACCTCTTTGTTCATGTTTTTCTCATCTCTTCCTTTGCTGCTCCTTACTTCTGGCTTTCTCCTAGACTTTTTACGCCAATACCCGCGTTGAATACTCCATACAACTGCGACTGCTTGCCCTGTCTGCTGGCATCTTTTCGCTTCCCTCCACTGTCGGTTTATTCCACAATGTTACTTCTTTTATGTGCCACTTTTCTGTTGGCCTGGACTCTCTACAGTCTTGGTGGTCTGGTCCAAAATATCGGCCGTGCCCGGAGGCTCGGAATTCCCTATCATGTCCTACCAGCCAGTCCTGTCAATCCGCTTTGGGTCGTTCTTGAACCAGTCATTTTCTTCATTCTGGATCGTCTCCCCTTTCAACTTGGCCGAGTTAGCTACTATGGTCGGCGTAGCTGGCAGTTTGCTGACCGAGCCCAGTCTCATCTTCGCATGGGTGATGCGTGGGCACTGGCAACCCCATCCGAAGTGTTTGTCTATGTTTGCGATCCCGAGGCCATCACTCAGATCATATCCCGTCGTGTGGACTTCATACGGCCAGTGGAGCTGTATAGTACGTCATAGTCGTCCTTTAGTACCGTACAAAGGCATGATTCTGACATACACTCATACACTTCCAGAACTGCTTGATGTGTTTGGCCCCAACGTGGCAACTGTCAGTCTTTTCACTCGAGTCCTCACAAATTCCTCCTGCTTACCGCCATACATTGGCAGACTCTGGGTGCCGACTGGCAACGCCACCGCAAGATTGTGGCCGCACCGTTCAACGAGAGCTTGAATAGTTTCGTCTGGGACGAGGCCATCACACAGGCCCAGGCGATGCTCGCGTCAACTGGATCCTCGCCCGCTGGCGGGTTGGGAGCTGACATCCGCACCTTAGCGCTCAATGTCCTTGCAGCGACCGGCTTCAAGCGACCGCAATCCTTCCACAGCTCCCAGGAAGCACAAACCCTGGAATCCCGCTCCTACAGCGAATCTCTCAATCTCGTGATGAGGAACACCTTCTTAATCATGATTATTCCCCCCTGGGTTCTGAGGCTTCCGGTGTTCCCTAGCTGGTGTAGACGCGTCGGACAAGCCGTTGAAGACTTCAAGCAACATATGCTTACCATGGTCAATCTAGAGAAATCGCTGATCGAGCAGGGTCAGCCAGGCACTGGAACGCTTATGTCCTCCCTGATCCGCGAGTCCGAGGTCACCCGCCACAACAACCGCAAGCCCCTCACGATCCACGAAGTTCTTGGGAATATCTATGTAATCAACTTCGCTGGCCACGACACCACCGCCAACACAATGACGTACCTGATGTTTCTCCTGGCCGCCTATCCGGACATCCAGGAGTGGATCGCAGAGGAAGTTCAGACGGTCATTCCCAAAACCGATCAGGGGAATGCGAGTTACAAGGAGGCGTATCCCAGGCTTAAGCGCTGCCTTGCTGTGCTGGTATGATCGCGGTCATGCTCCTGTGTTGCCGGATACTTTTTTTCACTAAAACATTAAAAATTTCTTTTTCTTTTTGCGGAGTAACAGCTTGAGACCGTCCGCCTATACCCAGCCATTCAGGCCCTTCCCAAATGCGTCGCCCCTGCCGAAACCACCCTGCACCTCCCCGAGAGTAACTGCACTCTCGTGCTCCCTCATGGAGCCGTCATCTTTCCTAGTCTCCTCGCAGTACAAACCCACCCCCGCTACTGGCCGGATGAGCCGCAAGCCTGGCATCCCCGACGATGGATCCAGACTTCGAACACAAATAGTAGCGCGGGGAGCACGGATTACCTTTGTCGCAACGCAACGGAGCAGCTCGCGCGTGAGGAGATCATCGAGCCGCGGGCGGGAACTTACATCCCCTGGTCCGCCGGCGTGCAGGTGTGCGCGGGCCAGAAGTTTGCGCAGGTCGAGACTGTGGCGGTCTTGGCTTCCCTCTTCCACGAACATCGGCTCCGGGTCGTGCTGCAAGAGGGAGAGGATTTTGCGGCGGCGCAGAAGCGGCTTGTGGCCAAGACGTTGGATACGCATCAGCTGCTGGTGATTCAGATGCGGGATCCAGATAGTGTCAAGTTTGTTTGGGAGTATGTGGGGTCAAAAGTGAGTGGGAGCTTGTTGTAAATACGTTCAAGTATGAGGTGGTATTTGTATAGAATAAGTGAAGGGAGACAGCTGCTGAATTGTGTTTGACTACGTATAGTGCTTTTAGCATTGCCTGCGCAATATTGCCTGAATGGTGCTTTGATGAGCATGCCATATGTGGAGATGGCACCTCTGTCGCATGGTAGATATCATTGTATTTCTGTCGGGATACGTGACAGATTACTCTGTGACAGTTGACAGCTGGTTTGTGAAGCAGGAAGGAATTTTCTGGTTCAGATATAGGACAGCAGTAAATACAGAGCGACAGAGCGACATATCCATGGATGAATGAATAACTAATCGATAGTAACTAGTCAGCGGAAGGTTGCCGATCACTGCGGAAAGAACCTCGGAACTTGGAATCGGAAACTTTCCGGAACATGGAAGAAGTATATGCCGACGTTGACCGCTTGCATCTGCCGCGCCACCTTGACTCAAATTGCAGGCGGAAAATGTATTGTTCCGTTTGCGCCCGCCTTAAGAAAACCATCCCACCATCTTATCAGCCCACTTGCACATCGTTTGCCTTTCCCCTCTCACAAATCCCCATTCCCCGGCTCCGGCTCTGGCTCGTCACGATGGACTCCGCAGCTCAGGCACGTTATGATCTTATCCGCGAGAACCTCGCTGAGGTTCTGAACCCCGAGATTCTCGAGGGTATCCTGGCCGAGGGCCGCCATCCCCGCATCTACTGGGGTGAGTCAGTCTAAACACCGCGCTTATTACCTGCACCAACTAATGATTTCCTGAAATCAGGAACGGCCACCACTGGCAGGCCCCACGTCGGCTACTTCCTCGCTGCCCTCAAGATCGCCCAATTGCTTCGTGCTCAATGCGACGTCGTCGTCCTGCTCGCCGACATCCACGGTTTCCTCGACAACCTGAAGGCGCCGCTGGAGCTGGTGGACAACCGCGCCCAGTACTACCGCAAGGTTATCACCGCCATCCTTGAGTCCGTCGGCGTGTCGACCGAGAAGCTCGAGTTCGTGCTCGGCAGCTCCTACCAGAAGTCCCCCGAATATGTCATGGATGTCTACCGCCTGTCGAGTTTGATCTCCGAGTCGGATGCCAAGAAGGCCGGTGCGGAGGTCGTCAAGCAGACCGACAATGCCCCCCTGAGTGGTCTGCTCTACCCCGTGCTCCAGGTTCTGGATGAGGAGCACCTGAAGGTGGACTGCCAGCTGGGTGGCATGGACCAGCGCAAACTCTTTGCCGCTGCCGTGGAGTGGCTGCCCAAGCTTGGTTACCGCAAGGTATGTCCGCCCCCAATCGTCTGTCCCGGGATTGGTAGAAGGCTAATCACTTTTACCTAGCGCGCACATCTCATCAACCCCATGATCAGCGGTTTGAAGGGTGCCAAGATGAGTTCCAGTATCGAAGGTAATATGCATTCTCACACGACCACGCGGAAGCCCCAGACTGACACCTACGCCGCTTAAACAGACAGCAAGATCGATCTCCTCGACTCGGCCGACAGCATCACCAAGAAGATCAAAAAGGCCGAATCCGCGCCCAAGGTCGTCGAAGGCAACGGTGTCATCGCCCTCGTGGAGTACGTCCTCCTGCCCGCCGCCGATCTCAAGGGCAAGAAGGAGTTCCGCGTTGAGCGCAAGGACCAGGAGCCCCTGATCTACACCGACATCAAGCAGCTCGAGGAGGATTACAAGAACGATGGTGTATGTTTTTCTTTGCTCACATCGCCCCTTTTTAGCCTTCTGTTTGCACCTTCATTACTAACCCTAACTCTCTGCAGTTGACGCCACAGATGCTCAAGCCCGCCGTCGCGGACGGTCTCATCAGCCTCATGGCCCCCATCCAGGCGGCCTACCAAGCCTCCACCGAGTGGCAGGAGATCACCGCCAAGGCCTACCCGCCTCCTGTCGTCGAGAAGAAGCAGAAGAAGGTCAAGAACAAGGGCACTCGCCACCCCGGTGCTGCCGCTGAGCCGGAGAAGCCGGCCACGGAGTAGGAGATTTCGAACAGGAAGCTTTAGCGTACGATATACAAAAAGCACGTACAGTTCATCTAGAACTTTTAGCGATAGACCACTTTTCATGACAAATGACTCTGGAAGTTTTTGATATCTTTTTTCCGGGGAGAGGTACAAGATGTTGAGCGTGGCCAAAGATAGCCTTAGATAGAGCCAGCGGACTGGCGTCTGAGTTTCATCACATCAAATGACAGGACCAACGTATGTGTATGTAGTACTCAAGTACTAGGTAAGTAGGTGTAACTATGGCCGCGGGCTTAAGCATGCCTTTGCAATGTCCAGCAATTTAACCTATCAAGAGTGAGTGGTGCCAACTGCATAGCGTGGTCAAAGTGGAGCCGGTGTCGCACGGCAGAAAAGGCTCTAACTCGATTTAGTCTACGCTTATTCCGACCACGGACGGATACGGACGGATCGCCCACGGCGGGCTTGCCATATGCCCAAGTTATCGATTCCGGAGGGATGCACAGTTGTCCTCAGTACTCATGCAATGTGATGTTCATATCCTGAACGCTCTTCGCGGGAACGTTTGCAAAGAGGGCATGGAAGTCTCCTTGCAATGACACGGTCACAAAAAATTCAAACCAGTGGGTCTAATGAGAGTCCGACCGATATGCTCATCTTAAGCACTCCGGAAGTCCTGAGCTTGCCGCAGCTTGAGCAGAGTGTCCTAATCCAAAGAACATAATGCGAACGTAGTAGACAGCATGCTTAGATCCCATCCGGCTTACCCTCAAGATCCTCCTTGATCAGATCCGCAGCCTTCTCCGCGACGGCAAACACAGTCGCCTGGATATTCCCGCGCGGCACCAATGGGAAGATACTGGCATCGACGACACGAATGTTCGTGGTACCGTACACGCGCAGGCGGGGATCGACCACGCCCCCGTCCTCTGGCGGCATCATGGCGCACGTCCCTGCCAAATGGAATGTAGAGAGCAGCAGCTCTTTCGTCACTTTTTTGGCCTGCTCCAGATCGGTGAGTGGCTCGGGGCTATGCAGCCGGACGCCGTTCTCCTTGAGCACCGCAGTCATCGACGGCGTCGCGGCCAACCTCTCCATCCACATCGCGTGGCGGGCATGTAGCTCAAGATCAATGGGGTGGCGGAGGATCCCATGGTCAAGAGCCGGATGATCCCTGGGGTTAGCGGAGCGGATATGCACCGACCCCCGCGACAGCGGATAGCATAGCGTCGAGACGAGCGTGATGAAGTTCCCCGGGTGGGCGGGCGACATGAGGGCTTTGATGCCCTTGGATCCTTGACGTGGGTCGAGCTGGAAGGGCAAGAGCGTGTACTGCGAGGTGGGCTCATCTGGGTCTTCGAGGAGTTGTTGTAGGACCTGCGCCTGTTTCAGGCCCAGTCCAGAAGATTCGCCGATCATGCGCAGAAGACTGGCTCGCTCCGCGTGTGGCAGGTCGACGCACGGCATGTTAGCACAGATGTATGGCACCATGGCTAGTGGACCGGAGCCGTCCTGCTGATACGCGGCCATGGCAGCGGCAGCGGCATTTGGATTATGCGCCATCTCGTCGAAGGAGGATACTCCGTCTGCTACCTCGTACCCGAAGCTGACAATCCCGTGGTCCTGCAGGTTCTCACCCACTCCGGGAATTTCGATGGTCGGATTGATGCCGTGGGCGCGGAGCAAGGAACCGTTTCCGATGCCGGAGAGTTCGAGGAGTTGCGGTGTCTGGACAGCGCCTGCAGCCAGAATCACCTCGTTGTTGACCCGGATGTGGTACGTCTGGGTGCCGTGAAATACTTCGACGGCCATAGCCCGGACGGTCCTGGCGGACTGGTCTTCCTCAAGGACTAGCCGATCCACATGGACCCCTGTCACGACCCTCAGATTCGGTCTTCGCTGCACAGGTCCCGGCAGGTAAGCTGCGCCAGCATGGCTGCGGGTGTGTGTAGCCGGATCCACCGCACCAGCTGCCAAAAATGGCCCGATCCCTTTGCCTTGGATGGGATCTGTGCTTGCAGGATATCCCAGCTCGCGGAAGCCCTGCCAGCAGGCAGCATGGACGGGCATGTACTGGTTTGCAAAAGAGACTTGCAGGGGCCCGTCTTGGCCGTGCGCTTCGGGATCATATTGCATGCCCGGGAAATGGTCACGCACGGAATCCGAGGGCCCGCAAGCAGTTTCAAATCTGCGCAGGTATGGTGCAAAATCATCCCAACTCCAACCGGGATTGCCCAGCTGCTCCCAGGTGTTTAAACCAGCCTGCGACGGGTAGACTACTAATCCCTGGTTGATGACAGAGGACCCTCCGAGTGTGCGGCCCTTGGTGCCAAAGAGGCAACGGTCATGTAGTTGTTCCTGGGGTAGGGTTGGTAGATCCCAGTCGAAGTCTTGGTCTGCATATGTTGTCGGTCCCAGGGCTGGGATCTGGGTGCGAGGATCGTCGAGTCGGTTGGTGCCAGCTTCGAGGACCAGGACGCGAACGTCGGATCGCTCGGTCAGCCGGTTGGCAACGACCAGGCCGGCAGTGCCTCCACCGACGATGATGAAGTCGAAGATGGCATTCCTAAGCCCTTCGGTCGAGTCAGTGTTGTAGTTAGACATGGCGGTGAAGTTAGGAGGAGTGAAGAAAAGTGGCCGAGACGTCTCCGTGTTGATTGAAAGCGAATCTTACCTCTGGATGAGACCCTGTTCTTAAGGTCAACAAAACTCAAGAGTGCACTATACAATAAGGCTGCCGCAGCGTGACAGCCAATGTACGCATGAGACGAGCTTTAGTCTGCCGATCAAAATGTGACTGAGGTAGGATGCAGCAGGGTAAAAAGCAAACATATAGTGATTGCCAGGTAGATTGGACTTTGCGGGTCGCCTGGAGGGTGAGGCACCGGGGTCTCTATAGCCCGCCGAAAGCTTACTGGCCTCAGGCTTGTCATGCCCACTGTCTTCCTGCGGGTCGGAACTTCTCTCATCTTGACCTTCAACCTCACCCCACTTCACTCAACGACTAACTCAACACAACCCTTTTTTGAACGGTCGCCACTTTTCCTAAGCTGCGTCTCGCTTGCCTTCCTCTTTTTTTCTTTTCCCTCCTTTCCATTGATTCATATTTGCTTTTCACGTTTGCTACTGCGCTTCTGCTACTCTCTCATCGTTTCACCGTCGCTATGTCATCGACAAGACCTCAAGTGTCCCAAGTCGCTTTGCCGGGTTTCAATCGCCCTCTTGCTTACCTGGTCGGTGGTCAATTCTCTTTAGTTTGAACAGGCTTTGCTAACCTGTGTTTCAGGCTGGAAATCCTTTCCCAAATGCTGTAGAACCTATTCCACTGATTATGATCGGGTGAGCCTATGTGTCGGGGAGGCATATGAAGCCACGAAGCAAAGTTCTGATACAAGGTGAAGGGGCCAGAGAACGTCATGGGAGTTAGCCATGCTGCAGATAATGGAAAGAATCACGGACAAGCCCAGATGGTTCAAAAAGGCCGGTGCCTATCTGCATCGCCAGCAGGGGAGTACTGATTGATTTCAGATCTTCAACAAGCACATCGCTGCAAGGTGGCGACGTGAGATCACGGAGCAAGACATCCCCGCAATGATTCCCCTTACTACCGACATGATTGACTGGATCATTGAAGAGCTTCAGTACAAGGCTGAGTTCTTTTTGTGCCAAGACATGGTCAAGGTCTTCGATGAGGGTATCATGAAATCCGACTCTATCGTTCCCGAAGATCTTCGCCTTGCCCTTCTCGCGGCCGTGCGTCCACTTGAAGAGGTTCCAGCCGACAAGAAAGATTACCACCCCTCGTCGGACCGAAAAATCGTTAATTTAGTACATCCGTCCCTGTATCCGCTGGCTTATGGTCGCACGCGGATTTTGAGGAATGGTGTAATCAACCTTCCCAACTTTTTGGAACATACTGGAAGAGGTGAGATCCTACCTGTTCCGGATGAGAGCGGAACCCATGCGCGTCGGCCAGATCGCTCTCCTTACCGAACCGCGGACTACAGCCGTCGATTTCAATGGCTTCCCTGCAATGTTAAGATCTACCCTGACGGCCACTGCCGCATTGCCTCCTACATCAACAATCTCCGCCCCGACATCCATTGCGCGCTTTACGATGTCATTGAAAAAATTATTACCTGTGCAGTACCTCTGTGGAATGAGACTCTGACACCCTTGACCGATGACTCGTACCGAAATTTCAACCGGATCGATTATAGCGGGCCTGATATGTCTCCTCCTGAGCCAGAGGAACATACAGAGTCCGAAGTCGACCCTGAACATGAAGAGCCCATGCCCGACGACTGGTCTAATGGTTTGCGCCAGTGGAGAGTTTTGCACCGACTCCCTCCTCCCAAGATCGGAGAGTTTGAACCATTTCCCCCGGTTGAGATTGAGGTGGATATGAAAACTATGTTTCAGCAGCATGGGTTGCAAGTTATCGTCAAGTTGACCAATATTGAGTTAACCCCGGAGAAGCCATCATACGCGGGTGGGTCCTGGCATATTGCAGGGAGAATGGTATGTGACCTTTCTTTCACCACATTATATCTCTCGTCACCCGGATTTATCAAATGAAACTAATTCGGCATCATTCGTCACTCCGATTTGGTAGAACGAACATATCTGTGCAACCGCGGTTTATTACTACTCGAACCATAATATCACTCCTGGCAGAATCTGCTTCCGCCAGCGGCTTAACTTGGACGATGTTGTGGAGTTTTCAGAATACGAAGGTTGCCCCTGCGAATGGGTTCCAGGCGCTTTCGGTACCGGAAATTTGGGTGGACCTCTCACTCAAGTCCTCGGTAGCGTGGAGTGCCGACAGGGTCGTCTTCTCACATTCCCAAATATTGTCCAGCATCGAGTGATACCTTTCGCACTAGCCGATCCGACAAGATCGGGCCATCGCAAGATTCTAACCTTATTTCTGGTGGATCCCAATCTCCAGATCATTTCGACCGCCAACGTGCCTCCGCAGCAAGCGGACTGGTTCGAGGAGACTGCCCGTGCGCGTCATGAAGTTCTTGCCAGATGGCTGCCTACAGAGCTGCAGGATATGATCCAGGAATATCTGGGCGGTGATAATCTGATCGGTAAAGAGGAGGCTGAGGATCTTCGAGTGGAACTAATGGAGGAGCAATCGGCAGTGTCCAAAGACCAAGGATGGCTTTTCGACCACCACAACATGCCTCCAGTCTGCAGTCACTGACCTGGTACATCTTTGCTGTTGATTGTCCGATGCGCTTAATTGTCAAATTCATGTATGAGTACGTGTTCGCCAGGGACCGGTGCCATGAGACAAGTCCTTTGTACCTTTTATCTCACTTATTTCTTTTTCTCGTTCTCAGAAAAGCTTAGTACCATCGAGAGAGCAATAACAACCGTCGGTGAATTTCCTTTCATGACCTATTACCTCCTTTTCTCGTCAAGCAGCATCCTCACAGATAATATCCCCCATCGACCACCACCATCTGCCCACTCACAAACCCCGCTCCGCCCTCCAACAAAAACCCCACCACACTGGCAATCTCCTCCGGCGCCGCCAACCGGCCCATCGGCGCGCTCTCCGCATACGCATCGATCATCCCCTCCGTCAACGCCGAGTCCACCAACGGCGTCCGCGTGCCCCCCGGCGCGACGCAATTCAACCGCACCCCACGTGACGTATACTCCTTTGCCCACGCCTTGGTCAACCCCAGCACCGCATACTTACTCGTCGCGTACGCGACCATCCCCGGCGGGGGCGAGAACGCCGCCCTGGACGCGATATTCACAATCGCGGCGCGGACGTGAACACCCCCTCCTCCTGCAGCTCCGGGATTCCCGGCCGCTGCGTCCGCGTCTTTGTTTAGGACGTGCTTCAAAAACTCCGTCCCCAAAATCCACGTGCCCCTCAGATTCACGTCCAGGACTCGATCGAAGAGCTCGTCGTTCTCGAACCCGCCGATCGTCGGCGGGGGGCAGATCCCTGCGCTGTTGATCAGTTCGTCGATCTGAGGGGACTGGGCGAGGATACGGTCGAAGATGGCGGTTATCCCTGCGCGTGAGGTTACGTCGGTGTTCGGGTAGAAGTGGATGATTGCGGTCGGGAGGGTGGCGGGGAGGGTTGGGGGTGCGGAGGCGAGGTCGAGGACGTGGATTGTGGGTGGTGGGGTGTCTGGGTGTTTCGGGGTGAGGAGGTGAGTGAGGATCGCGAGGCCGATGCCGGAGAAGCTGCCTGTTAGGATGTAGGTTTTGCTGTCAGAAGGCATTTCTTTGACGTCTGGGAGGCAGGCGTGGGTGGTGAGGCTTTTGGTGATGGAAGCGGGGAGGGGAAAGGGAAAAGGAGAGCGGGGTTTGCGCTTTGCTTTGTCTCGTGGTTGCTGGTTACTAGTCATTATTCATGTGTGCATACCTTAGCCTCGCTGGCTAGCATGAGATGGGCTTGGGCTATGCATTCCAGAAGTGAGTTCATTGGTTCGGTATAGGTTAACTGCCCCCACTCGCAGATTGCTTGAATCAGTACCACCCAGGCGGCTTGTCTGACCCTGGGAGTCGGGTCTCAACGTTCTCTGGTCTAGACCTTGCAATTGAATGGGTTGTAAACCTTGGTTTCTACCCACTCGTCTCGCCCTCGAGTGAGCAGGTACAGTACAAGCGACTGGGTCGATTACCATCGGAATCTAAAGCACCGGAACAGATGCAGGTTCGTCATCTTGGAGCTAAGATGGGCTCGATTCCGTGATGCTCGGAGCAGAAATATCCCGAGGCTTCTACGTGACCGGGCCGATATTCCAACAAATAGTCATGGTGTGTTGTCGCTGACTCCTGCTTATGTTCTTTGTTTATCTTAGCGTTGGCGCGGTGGATGGGTATCCTTCCTCGTATCACCTCAAGTTCATAGGCTGTAGGCAGTGCGATTGGACCGCGGCCGGATGCCCGGTTCGTGTTCGTTGTGAAGCTTACATACTAAAATCTCACACGAGACTTCGGTCAACAGATCTGATGCACGAATGCCTTAGGGTTATCTTGTATACGAGATCTTCTGGGCACAGCCCGACCCGTCCGGATTCGAGCCCGCAGCGGGGTAACCCGCCAGAATCCTGCGGGCTGAGCCGCTTTTGGGAAAGCCGGGCGGGGTACAGTACCTGGCCTTAGCCACGCGGCTGACTGTCTATCTCAGGGGTGTGGCAGTAGATCTTCTCAACATTCCCGCAATCTCCCATATTCTCTACAACTAATTCGAGTGATGTGACAATGCTTTCCAAACCATTCAACGGTCCGAGGAGAGATATGGTCACAGATATAAGCTGCCGATCCTCTGAAAGACTGCTCTACTGAATAGTCTTCCGGGCTTTGCGTTTATGCTATAGTATATTCGTTTATACTTCGAGCCTAGAGTGAACCATTGGCTTTCTTCCTTTATTTCTTTCATGATAAGAACTCTCCTTCCTTTGGGACGCTAGTGGCGCACTTAATTAGTTCAAAGTTAGTTACCTCTGCTGACTTAACTGACCGATCTATAGCCTCGAGCGACCGGGACAGGCTCTGGCCACCGAAGCCTTTGGTACTCTAATTGCTGGAAGAAAGTCGATATTATTGGCCGGCACTATCACGCTTAATTCTCACGCTGGTGAATGAGCATTTGACGGTACACTGTGTGCTGTATTCTGTCGCCGTGTGATTTGTGGGGAAACCTTGCTTGTCGACGCAATGTCGACTCAAGAGCAACGACGTTCTTCTTTGGCAGTGTAAGAGGCTGAAAGAAGTGGCTGCTTCTATCCCTTCTCACGTCCTATGAACTAGTCATACTCATTGGAGTGGCTCGCAGGATCTGGGATGTAGCGCTCAGGAACAAGGCATAAATGTGCTCGTGACCACCCCGCCGTGGTGGAGCCGTTGCCCTATCTGTCAGTCACTGACCGCTACAAGGACCAGTACCCGACGTAATCACGGTGTCATTCGAGGTTCCGATTCTTAAAATTACACGCCTCTGGCTGATGTTGACCAATCTCGGCGTGGATGCTTACTATATCCAGCGGTGATTCTGTGGCAAGCAAAACGCCCCGACGCTTGTTGGAGTGCCGCCATGAGGCAATGAGAGCAGGTCAACGCCTCATGGCCTTACCATCAAGGCTTGTCCCTCTTCCTGTGAAACTGACTAGTCCTAGGCCAGCTCTGTCTGTGTTGAGCCTATAAAATCCTACGTTTCGTCCTCTCACTCGGGCACATTATCACACATGATCGATTCATGTTTTGCCTCTTAACCTTTCGGCAAATTGGTATTATCCAGACTTTCGGGTCAACGCAGACTGGTCCGGCAGTATTATCCACGAGAAACCACAATGGATTTGGGACGTGTGCTCGGCTCGACGGGCAAGCAGCTACTGGATAGGGCACAAACTAGCCTCATATCCTTGGGTACGGCTGCGGTTCCTGTCGGCCTAGTCAGGAATCTAGTCCTATCAATTCTATCTAATATAAGAGTTGGGACCCTGGAGATTTACTCTCACGACGGAGAAAAGTGGAGATCCGGTCAAGGGAACGGAGGACACAAAGGTGTCATACATGTCCACAGGGATACGTTCTGGTTCCGAGTCCTTGTATCGGCAGACCTTGTGAGTCGTTCTACCGCGCGCGCCGGCTTGATGGTCCTCTATCGATAAAACCCCCGCTCACGGCTCGATTCCCCAGGGCTTTGCCGATTCCTTCATGTTAGAAGAGTTCTCGACGCCAGACCTGATGGCACTGATGGAGGTACACTTAAAACACCAAAACCCGAATTGCAGCGCTGACCCGTTTCCGCTCCAGCTCTTCATCGAAAACGAACAGCACCTGTCCAACCTCAGTACCACCCCATATCGATTTGTGGCTGCCATCTCGGATGTGCTCTTCCGCACCGTCGACACGGGCACCCTCAAGAACGCCAGTCTGAACATGGTCGCCGCGTACGACCTCTCCAACGGGATGTTCGAGGCGTTCCTCTCCCCGGACATGAGCTACTCCTGTCCGATCTGGCTGGCCCGGTCGCATCCGCAGTACGCCAGCGACACCCTGGAAGCCGCGCAGATGCGCAAGCTGGACCAGCTGCTGGCGAACGTGCATGCGCAGCCCACGGATCACATCCTGGAGTTCGGGACGGGATGGGGCAGCATGGCGATCCGCGCGGCGACAACGATCGGCTGCCGCGTGACGACCTGCACACTCTCCGAAATGCAGTACCAGCGGGCGCAAAAGCGCGTGCGCGCCCTGGGGCTCGAGGAGAAGGTCACGGTGCTGCTGTGTGACTATCGCCTGTTGCCGGTGCCGGAGGTGCCCTACGACAAGATCGTCGCCGTGGAGATGATGGAGGCGATGGGCGACCATGAGTTGCAGACGTTCTGGGAGACCGTCGATAGGTTCCTCAAGCCGGAGGGCGGGATTGTCTCGATCCAGTCGAGTATCATGCCCGAGTCGGTGAGTGGTGTCCCATGGGAGATGCGGGTTCTCGGAAACTCGGAGCTAATTCGTCTGCAGAGATATAAGAATATGTTTCCTAAGGGAGAGGGGTGAGTGTCTGGCACCGTTGAGGGTTTTCTTTTCTTTGGGTCTGGGTTTAACATAGAGTTCTATTTTAGGTTCATTCGTCGATATGTAAGTCTATTCTTCGCCAGAGTTCGGATTTCGCAAACATGGACTTAATTCTCATGACCGAATAGATCTTCCCCGGAGGCCACTGCCCCAGCGTCACCAGACTGTTGGAAGCAGTCCAAAGTTCCAACGCCCGACTCGATCTGGAATCCGTGCAGCAATACGGCGCCCACTATGTGAGATGTCTCAACGAATGGAGTAACAAGTTCCAGCACAATTTTCGGGGCATCATTGCCCCCCTCGTGCGAGAAAAGTACAACCTGTCGGAAAGCGACGTGGAGGTCTTTTACCGGAAATATATCGTGAGTTGAAAACGTGTCTGTCCCCATAGCGGGATCCGCTCTGACTTGGTACAACAGTATTACTTTACGTATGCAGCGGCTGCATTCGATACGAAGGTTTTGCACCTTTCCCAAGTCACTTTCAGCCGGCCTGGCAACTTGGCGATGTTGGCAGAGGCTTAGATGGGCTTGTTATTTCTCTTGGTTTACTTTGATTTTTGGTGTGTTGGGTCTGATCATAGATCTTTATTTTCTTGCATAGAGTATCCATGTGTCTATATTCAGTTTGATAGATATTATCATGTTTTTATCGCATGTGCTGAATCCAAGGGTCCAGAATCTTTCGGTGGGGATAGCATGGAGATAGCATCCCCGCCAAGGGATTGGCACGGAACAACAGATCCAGTGAATCCTAGCTATTGTCCAAGACCTGCTCGGTTCTTCTTTTCATCTCATGATCCCCCGAACAGAGCTTCGCCAGCATCTCTCGCTCTCCGTCATCCAGGTACGGATACCCTTTCAAGAGGAAGATGCTATCGCGAAACTGCACCGCGTCCGGATGACCATCCCCCTGGGCCTCAAACTGCAGCAGCAGCAGCTCTTTCCACTCCGCATCATCGAGGTCGACATTGCCCCGCGCGACCAGGAGATACTCGAACCAAATAGGATAGTACGCCGCGTACTCCCAGTCAATGATGGCGACCAGGCGCCCGTCCCCATCCACCATGATATTGCTGATGTGGAGGTCGCCATGGGTGAGGACGTAGGGCCCGGACGCGGGCATGCACGCCATCAGGTTGTCAAGGATTTGGTCTGGCAGCTCCCGGTCCAGAATGCCGGTCAGGTACGAGCGGATCGCCGCTCGCAGGTCCGCGTCCGAGACGAAGGGGCCCTGCACGCGGTTCCGGAACCCCCATTCGTACGGCGGATAGCACGCGCCTCCACCCACCGATTGGATGCACGGCGAGGTCAGCCGGCGCAGCCGCTGGCGGACCTGGCCCACCTGCGCGGCGATCGCTTTCTTTTGGGTCTGGGACAGGCGGGGCCATGCGTCTTGGAGTGTCTCGCCGCGCATGCGTTCTTGGAGGATGAAGTAGCGTCGGTTGCTGTCGATCCACTCGTGGAGGACGCGCGGCGCGGGGATCCCGGGGTCCTGCGCCAGGACTCGCATCACCGCGCCCTCGGTGCAGAGGGCGTCGTCGCTGGGGTATTCCTTCAGGATCTTGTCGGTTCCGACTTGCCACACCCCGCGGTTACCGGTGGCGCTGAGGAGGCGGAGAGTGTCGGGGTTGGGATTCTCCATCTTGCTGTCTGTTCAGATATGCTTGTGGGACGGAGAGTTGACTTATGTTGTGTTTGATGGCCTTGTGTTGTATCAAAATGATATTTATAATGCACTCGTGCCCATGTTCCGTCCACATGTGCAATTGAGATTGCATTACCCCCGGACCAGGAACAGACAAAGCCCTCATATAACAGCCCGGAATACTCCATCCCGGTCAAAGCTGGCACAGACCGTCTGCGCTTACACACATCATAAATGTTGATCATAGATAATATCTTCGAAATGTCTTTCAGACTGAGTATACGTAGACAAAGATATCCCCCTTTTTCCACTGGTATAGAGGACGAGTACACTTGCCATCCCATTCCCTCTCGCTGAAACCAAGTTTAATCCAACAATGCATGAGATTCAACTATCACAGGAATTATAATGAAAGGCAAGAGTATGTATACTCCCATCTACATCTGCTTGCCTGGTTGCGCTCAACGTGTTCTCACGGATGCTTACCGTCCATAATCCGTCTCTCATCCGCCCACGCCATGATCGCATCGAAGTCCTTACACTCATGCACCGCCCCGGTCCCGTCGGTGCCAGGCTGCGCCCGCTGGCCCTGGCCCTCCAGGGCGGTGTCACCGCAGCACAGCAGCGACTCCCGCAGGTATTGAAAGCAATGATTCACATGGCCGTTGGGACCCTCGGTGGGGTCGTCGCTATGCCCGTGGTGATGGAAATGGTCGTGTTCATGCGCGTCGCGGGCCTTATGCATAGAAGATGTGCCAGCGACGAGGTCGTCGTATGCGGACATGATTGCGTACTTTCGATTCATACATCAGACTTCTTCAGTTTTACTCCATCAAAATGCAAGAATTATTTGAAGGACGAGGCATGGTGAGTGAGGGTGCTGAACCACTCTCACGTACCAGGCAATGCATCTGGTGGAAGACCGCCACCGCGTACAGGTTCTTGCCGAACTTCTCGATCGGCGGGGACAGGACGTATTCCAGTTGTTCCGTGTGGTTCACCGCGATGAACCCATTGCCCCCTATCCATCATTACCCTATTAGACCTCGGCAAAAAAGCTGTGTCGCTTCGACCCTACTCACGCGGCATGTACGAAAGCCAATTCTCCTTCGTGGCGGATTTAGAGCTCTCAGTTCGATGGTCCGAGACGGCCATGGGGTCGAGTCGGAAGAGAACTTGATGCGTGGGGACTAGATTCGGGCAAGGAATCGTGTCTGTCAGCCGTTGTTGCGGGAACATCTTCGCCAACGGAAGCGAGGGGGGGGGGCTCTTACAATCCGGAACCAACCCGTTCAGATCGCGCAGGGGCGGCTGCCTACTCGTCTCGACCAAGTATACCAAAAACACGATGATCTCGACGAACCCAACCACCGCCACCCCAATGTAGATGAGCGGTCGCAGACAGGCCCAGCGCCGGGATCGATTCATCTGGTCGATGTAATGGTCCCGCTTGAGCAAAAGCTCATTGGACTCTCGGTGATCATATTCTGGTTTAGCCGACATGTTTCACAATCGAGGCGGTAGAATCGCAGGAAGTCTACGTGACACGGAACAACGACAGACGCGATGGGGCTGTCTCAATATATACGTCTTGGCCACAGTCTGAATGAAAAGTCTACATCTCCTCTGATTTATCGCCTCCAGCATCATTCCCACTTCTCAGGTAGCTTTACTAGTTACCTAGCACCATTCGAAATCCATGCTCTCAATACGAGCCGTGTAAGGAGGAGTACCGCGGTGTCAAACAATGAAATTTCGCGGGCGGATACCAACCCCGAAGTTTAATCTCGGGCTATTGAGACCTTCAATTGGTAACCCTTCGACTCGCTTGCGCCAAGCCTATCCCGTTCTTCGTGCAATTCGCCCGAGTCCACGCTCATTCCCTGAAGACCCTGCGTTTCAGCAGCAGGGCTAGAGGAACAGGCTCGTCAGCTAGACTTAGAAGTTCCTTCTCTATTAGTTGAATGTAGTGGTATTTGGAGGTGCGCATCAGTCTGCGACGGAGTTTTAGCCGATTCGTAGGCCGAGTGATAATCAGTCTCCCATTGCCATATCTGGGACGCAGACAGAAGTGAATGAACTGTCTGCAGCGGCTCGGTGGAGCCCGTAGGTGTGGTCCGCAGTATGTATTCTCATCGATCGGCTTGGCTCTCCGTGTCTACGACCCTGGAGTCCACTCGGATGCGGGCACAGATCTCGAACATGCAATACCCATAACGAACGTAAGATCGATATGCCTGGGTCTCTGCTATCTGCGAGTATAAACCCCCCCCTCGCGCCCACCTCAACCTCGCAGCCCGCTCCGCGTCTTCGCGGCGCACCGTAAGTCTGTGCCGACCGGATTTCATACATCCCATCCCAGACATCGTCTTCTGCTCCGTATCCGGGCGCCATATCCTCTCGGTCTCTAAATCGATGGCCTCCCTTATGTTCGTACATGAACCACTGCCGGGTGTACAGTATTACCTATCCTGACAATTTATGGAGCGCTTGCACTTGACAATCTTGGGTGGGGAGGGGACGCAATCGCATCACCGAAATGACGATCGTTGACCGGCTCGAGATATTTGATATGGAATCATATACACGAATTCTTCGCAAGTGTTTGTACACAGTGTCCGCTTCCTTCAGTTCACACGCACATGCATCGATCCCCATAATTTCCACTGCCAACATGTAGATCCTTCCTCGCCCACAGAATCCACTACCTCAGACCCCCCCACCTTATTCTGTCAGCAACCCCTCAGCAACCTCCCTGACCCGCTCCAACGCCGCGACCAACAACGCCGGCCCCACACTCACCCTAGCCACCCCCATCGCCGCCAACTCCTTCGTTGTCAAACCCCCAGGAACAGCCTTAACATTCAACCTCCCCTCAAACGCCTCGACCAACCGCCCCACCTCTTCCCGCGTAGTCCCACCCCTCGTCGCCCCACCCCACACAAACACCGTCGCCGCCCCGGCCGCCAAATATTCCCGCCCGCGCGCAATCACCTCCTCCAGTGTGCCGCCATGCAGAAGCGCGTCGCACCGCGCGTTGACCACAAAGTCCGGCACGCCCGCCGCGCGCGCCCTGCCCAACACTGTCCGGATGCGCTGGACTGCCTCCGCGCGACTGTACATCGTCTTGGCGGCGTTGTCGAAGTCCTCCAGGTTGACGCCGACGACCCCTGCATCCAGGAGCTCCTGCACGATCATGGGGAGCCGCGTGTTGTAGCCGTCGCGGATGTCGATGCTGAGCGGCTTGCCGGTGGGGCGGACGGCGGAGGCGATGGCGGTCGCGGAGCCGAGGAGCTCGTCGCACGGGAGTTCCTCGTCCGACGTGCCGGCAGCGGCGGCGACGGCGTAGCTGGCGGTTGCGATGGCCCGGGCGGAGGGCAAGGAGGCGACGGTTTGGGCGGTGGCGGCGTCGTAGACGTTGGCGAGGATTAAGGGGTGGCGCGGGCGGTGGAGGGATTTGAAGTGTTGGGCGAGCGTGTTTTGAGGGGTGGTCATTGTGGTTTGCCTTTTGGTTGTTGTATTTGAATTGGGAGAAAGGGGGTTCGGTTCTGGAAGGGGAGATTATCTTGGATGGCCCCGGGGAAGTGGTGGTAGCGGTTGTTGAGTCCGGTCTTGGGATAAGCTTTATGGTGATGGATTTTCATTCAAGTTATACATATCCAATTCAAGGAGTCTTCGCTACAGCATGAACAAGACAGCCCGAAAATCAAGCTCGAGAAAATGAGTCATCTAGGCAGCCGGCTCGTATTCAGCTCTAGGCAGTAGAGGCTAGTTCTTGAATTGGAGAGTCATGGTATGTTCCATGAACCCGATGATATCTTGGTGGCCGGAAAAGGAAGCCTGCAGCTATACCTTACGAGGTAGTTTGGACATGTATTCCTGATTTGATTACCTTCATGTTAAAAGCAGAGCTTGTTGCGGTTGCTGGTCGCATCAGCTTGAACAGGACGCCGACGCCGGGCCACTGCCAGTCTTGGCTAGCGGCATGTCTTGGCCGTTCGTCCCTCGGGTCAGGAAAAGGATAGCTACGGCGGACGATAGCCGCCATCGGGCAAATAAGTTTTTGCTTATTATTCTGCCGGCAGAATTAATTCATCTTTAAGCAAGTATATATATATATATATATATATAAAGCTAGAGTGGATTAACCTGACCGTTATATCTTAATCTTAACCTGGCTATAACCTGGCGGTCAGATTAAAATATAAAAAAATTTTAACTGTATAGTTATAATTAGAGTGGCTAACGGCCAGGTCAGGTCAGGTTAATTGGAATTTTTATACCTAACCGCCAGGTTATAGCCAGGTTAAGAAAATTTTTATACCTGACCGCAGTATAGCTAAAAAAAAGATAGTTAACTGTCTTAACTGTTCTTAATACTAAGACCTGCTTGCTATATCTATTTAGGCTCTAATACAGTTAAAATATATTTAGATTAAGCGATTATTAATCTAACTATCTTAATTATTATTTAAAAATATATAAAAATAAGTTTTTAAAATCAGAAAAAAATAACTAAAAGAAGTATTAGTATCTTTTTTATTTCTATTTTAAAAAATTAATTAGAGATTTCTGATAGTATTAATAAAATTTAGTTTTTTATAAAATTATAGTTCTTATAGTAAAAAATATATATAAAAATATATAATTACAGCTCGGTTTAAGCCGTATATTTTAATTATAATATATAATATTAGAAAAACTGTATATTTACCAATAATTAAACTACTAAAAATAAATATATTATTTTTATTTTATTATTCTTTTTCTTACTTTAGCTTAGATAGTTTATTATATTCTTATTTCTATCTAAAAAAGCTAAATTATCTGTATAATAAATTAAATTTAAAAAAAAATCTATATAATATTATTTATATAGTTTTTCTCGGCAACCGTACTTTTTAACAATTATTTTATTAAATATTAAATACTATAAGAATAGTCTACTATTTTTATTTTTTTAATCTAGTTAATTTTTTTTATTCTTTTTATCCAGTTGATCTTTTTAATCTGTTTAATTTTTTTAACTTTAAATATTCTAGAGACCTGCTATTAATTATACTAATTTTATTTTATTTATTTAGTTTAACCAACTTTTTTATATAATAATAATATATATTTTAAAGTCTTTCTGTATTTTTTTTTTTTTTTTTTTTTTTATACTTAAAATTCTTATATCTTAGTACTAAATAGATTAGTTTTTAATTATTTAAACAGCTTTTATAGATATTATATTTTTTATAAAAAGTTTTATATAAGCTTTTTTTAGATTTTTTTTATAAATATTAAAATAATCTGACTAATCTGATTAATCTAATTAACTAAAATAAATAAAATGCGGCAGGCGTTTTAACTGTATTTAAAATATAATAAATTATATTTATATAAAAGTATATTTTAAAATAAAACAAACTATTTTTATAGAAGTTTTTATTTTTTTTTTATATCTATTATTTGTAGAGTAATCTTAAAATTATAAGTTAATTATAGTTATTTAATTTATTTTTAGAAAATATTATTAAGCCCTCTTCTTCTGTTTCTTAAATATTTATAAATTATAATAATATTCAAACTAAGATAAGTTTTTTAAGCTAGATTTTTTCTTCTTTTTTAAATCTTTAAATTACGTGCGTTATAAAAAATCGGAAGATTATTCTATATTTAATTTATAAAGAAAAGTACTTTACTTTTTAGAATTAATAGCAAAAAATAATCTTTTTTAAAGCCTGTATATAAACTCGAAAACTACTATTTTACTTTAATTAAAAAAAAATATTAATAATATAAAACAGCTTTTAAAAAAATATATTATTTTTTAATAGAATTTCTTATATCTACTATATTACCTGTCTTTATATTCTGCAACATCCGGGAATTAAAAACTTAAAAACTAGTTCTATAAACTACCATCTTTATAAGAATTATAAAAAAAAATACTATTAGTAGTATCTAAATAAATAATTAATTAAATATTAAGTAAAGAACTATTACAGATATTTATTTATTCTTTTAATATAAATTTTTTTTAATTATTATTTTTTCTAAGCCTTTATAATTTATAATAAATAGAACTTTTAGAATTAAATTTTATATTTTATAATTATCTGTCGCCTACTATTCCGAACTATTAAGTATATTTAATTTAAATAAATAATTAATTTTATAACTTTATTTTTCTACTAAAAATTAAGTTTATCTAATTAAGCACAGATTAAAGAATATTTTTTAGAATTATTAAAAAATATATATATACAGCTGTTATTAAAGTTTTTAGATATTAGAAAAATATTAGTTATAATAAA